CCTGAAAATAGGCTAACTTCCGTCAACATAACCAACGTGACCACCTGCTTGCACAGGGAGCGTGCTGGGGACTATTTTCAGGCGCTGCATAATATCATTGCGCCTGCTGCACCCATGGTACGGCAGCAAAGTTCCTTGATTATTACGCCGGAATGAGAGTATAGTTCCCAGCCATATCGGCCTAGAAAATCACAACTTTTCATTTTCCGTTGGTCTTAGTACACGATGTAACTACAGAAGCGTCAAGTTTTAAATAGGAAAAATATCGAATCTCTTTGGTAATTTTTGAGCGAGATGCTAACGGTCTAATCAGATTCAATGATCTATGCTAAGCTACAGCTAAAAGTGCTACCGCCAGACCCGGAGATCGGCTGAATGGATTCGAAAACAGTAAAACTCAACTGTTTAACTCTAGGGGCGATGGAAAATGAGCCTATTTTCAAAAATAGTGGCGTGTTCCTTTAAAGCCTTTCGAGATCATATTTCTCAATTCTTTTGTATATACTTATAGATGTTTTATGGATATTTTAAAACATCTAAATTGCAGCAATTTCTTTAACTAATTTTTCAACCAGGCTTATTTTATTCTGTTTATTTCTGTGACATTTGTCGATAGCAGGACAAAAATAGCCATGACTCGAGTCTATGCATTGAAAAAAACAAGATACATGAACAAGAAGAACATTAGTGACTATACAGGAACTATAGCCCACATTTTAGGTTTTTCATTGCCGCAACAACAGTTTGCAAATTGTCTTTATTTCTTTAACTTAATCACTACTATTGCAAATATTACTCTTATATATGAGTACCAGGGTAACCAAGGAAGCAAGCTGAAATTAAACACTAAAACACTCTGAAATAAAACATTAAAATTCAGGACCTTCAGCAAGATTGTTAAGAAAGTTTGCAAAAGCTGTTTTCAGCAACTGTCCGTGACCTGTGCTGCTTCCTCAAGACACTTAATAATGCATTTACACTGATTAACCACCAGGCATGTTATTTATTTATTTACCGTCTTACTGGAATGCTATACTTGTTGCTGTTACTTTGTATTAGACCATTTGTTTCTTTATAACTGTGGTTCTATAACACCTTAAAGGAAGTAATCATTACGCTGGCTTTTCAATCATCATTTAACCATGACTTGCTACTTCTCTAAAACTCATTTAGTGCAATGAGAAGCTTGGCCTGACAAAGACCCCATTCAGTTTGTAAGCATTTTCTCCTTCCCTCTGATACAATTATCTCCACAAAGCCATGTAAACAAGCAGCACAATGGACACAGCCTGGCCCTGGGCTGTCATTAGAGCAGATTTTCCATTTTTTTCCATTTTTCCATGCAGTTATGCTCTAAAATCTTATGCACAGTCCTTTTGGAGACTGGGATGAGCCTATGTGGGGTATAACTCTCTCTCTGCAAAACAAGGTCACCGCTCTGCCTTGACACATAGTCCGGCCTTTCTTCCTAGCTTTTATCACAAAGCCATGCACACAGACATGAATCTGAATACATAATAAAGTCTGATATGAATGCACAATAAAATAACTGTAGAGTTGTATTGTTTTCCAAGGATTTCTGGGATGAGCATATGTAGTGTTCTTATTCAGTCCTTCAGTGCTAAAATAAACTGTGGTGCTGTTTTAAAGACTAGCAGAAAAAAAAGTTTTCATATTAAATGATTATTGTGTGTGTGTGTGTGTGTGTGTGTGTGTGTGTGTGTGTGTGTGTGTGTTCTGGTTTTGCATGCATGACTGAATCCATGACTCTGCATTCATTATTGCTATGTCATTCTCCCATGCATGTAAACTGCTGTGTTCCTGTTTGATTCTTTTGACAGCGCTATTTTCTCTCAGTTCTGCATGTGCTGTTAGATTAGCAGAAGAGCATTTTGTGATATTACACAACAAAATAGAATCTCCGTGACCAACACCACCATATTTCCATTTTAAACCCAGCGGTGTATATGGGTAGGGCGTTTACTAATGCTAATACTATAAATAATAGGTTAGCTCATGTGAAATTTCCAGCAGTGTCCGGCAGTGTAACATGCTTTATAATTATTGTATAATTATTATCATCCATGCTGTTTTTGTGCCCTCACACATAGAGGAGTGTTTGTACATACTGCAGGACCATTTAAGTGAACTGCAAAAATGGTGATTTAAAGCAGGGAGCAGTTACAGCATCTGAAATATAATTTCCTTTATATATATATTTTTTGAAATAGTTAATGGACATATGATTGGTCAACCGTCCAATAACTGAATAGACCAAAATTCTGCTAAATCATGCCATTCATTTGCAGCTGAAACTAGCCTGACCAAAGTGTAATACTCAAAGTACAGCACAGACTCTGCAAAACTATATTACTCTGTCTTGCACAACACAAACTCAAAGGCTGTTTGAAGGTCACAGAGAGGGGTCAAAGTGCACTGAAGAACGGACATTTAGTGAGGCCAAAATCTCAAAGCTTTTGCTTGTATTTGTTAAGGTAAAGATGTCATACCTTTTGCATCCCAAACACCATTATATTGGACAAATATGATTTAGATATGGAAACAATTAAGTTGTCAGACAAACTTCTGGGTGTTTCTACACAACTCGCTGAACATATGGAATGGGTATCTATGGAAGGATTTGTGTAAAACACCTTTCAAATGTTTGGGGTCCATAAGAAAAACATTCCCTTATGCTAACCAAGACAGCATTTATTTGATCATAAACACTGCAATATTGTCAAATATTATTACAATTTTAAATAACTATTTTCTATTGTAATGTATTTTAAAATGTAATTTATTGCTATGATGGCAAAGCTCAATTTTTGGCAGCCATTATTCCAGATGATACCTTCAGAAAAAATTCTAATATGCTGATATGCTAAATTATTATTATTTTTTTGTAACAATGTCAAAATATTTACTGTCACTTTTGATAAATTTAATGCATTCCTTCTGAGTAAAAGTAAAAATCTTACTGGCTCCAAACTTTTTAATGGTAGTGTATGTTATGTATTTCAGTATTTAGTGATCTCGTCCTTTTTCATCTAAAAATTTTGGGTAGATTTTTCATTATAAAATGTGTTACTGTTATTAAATAAGGGAAAAGGTTTGGTCAGTAGCATTTTAAACCACAGTGTCCATATTACACACAATGCTTGATAACTACTTCTGGACTAACAATAAAAATGTGTAAGCTACTCCAGGAAAATTACATATGAAACAACTTGTTGATTACTCACTAAAATGCAGGTTAAATATTTCATGTATTAAACCTGCATTTATTAACACATCATCCAACAAACATGTCGATAATTTACTTACAGTGGACACAGCTTTTATAACTTGCACTAAAACTGATAACATTTTAATCTATAAAAAGAAAGATTTTTATAGATTAAAATATAACATTTCTGGTGCAGAACATTTGTCAATTAAATAAAAAAAAAGCAATAGTTCCCTTAAAAAATTAATATCATTATCTATGTACTATGCCGTAATACACGTCAGCTGAGTTGTTTGTAAAGTTCCCCATCTCAGAACTTGAAATAATACTGAAATGTTAGTTTAAGTGCCCCAACTTGCTACAGGATGAAAGGCACAAAAAAGGAAAATTAGCAGCAATAATTACTTTAAATCCATTTCAAAACATCACAAAATTATGTTTTTCTTCGTGTCATAAAACTAGAGATTTGCCAACCTAGAAAACATTTAGGCATCACAGGTGCGTTCCAAGTCAGTCTATGATGTCCAAAAATGCTGTCTAGGTAGACAGCTCACCTGCATTTGAAACACTGCCAAAGAATGTTAGTTACCTGATAATCCACCCATCGCAGCTGTCCACAGCTGTTTGTAAGCGATGTTCCACACTAGAAACGCCGAAAATCCCACCAGCATCCCAACACACGAGTAGCCCACGCTTATATAAGTCTTATTGATCGCCATTCTTGCCGTCAAATCCACACCTGAATAAATAAGGAAAATATTATTTAGAAATCCAAAAAACAACAAAGAATTATCCAGATACCAAAAATAGTTGTTATGGAGCATCCGCTCTTTTGACCTGGAGACAGCGCTGATGGAATGTCATTCACCGGGCTTTTTCTGAAGGAAAGTAAGACCGCCTCAAACGATCAATACGCATTTACTGTCATTTACTGCTCCATAACCCGCCGTGTGTTATTGTTGCTCTTCGCCGAGCTAAAGCATAAGAGCGAAAGTGAAATTATGCGTCCGTTTAACAGCGACCCCTATGGGTATGGATGAAAATGACACGTCTTTTACGACAGATCGATGGGAGGCTTGAATGTGAAAACCAATATGCGAACTAAAATGTTCCAAAAATTATGTGTGACATTAAGCGAAGCTTGCATTAAAATAGTTCAGATTAGAATAATTCCAAATTAGGTAATGTGAGAAACAGTAAGTCAATGTAAGATTAAATGTATATTATCCAAGTGTATTTTCTTTATTAGTCTTAGTTGTATCAGTGACAGTAAATGCAGTAGTGTTAAAACTAAAAGTAGTAGTGGTATTAATATAATTTATAACATGTGGGACTTAGAAATAGAGCTAGTGGTGGAAAAAGCTGTATTTGCTAAAAGAAGCTTCAGGTTTATGTCAGTTTATATTTATTCTAGTGGACATAGTAGAATCATGTGATTCTATTATGTCCTCTAGATGTCACCAAAACTTTAAACAATAATTTTAGCTCCTACAAAACGGATGTGTATAGCGTGTTCTGTCAGTAAATTTAATACACCTATTCACTTCTTCTAGTCCCAGCCTTAACAAAAAAAAAAAAAGGGAAATACCATAGTTTCTTAAGCTATGATACTACGATACAACTATGGAAATTTGGTACTGTCATACACGGTTTCTCATTCTAATTGTTTATGGTGGTATAGTAGTATCAGTATTAACACAGCCAGTAAATTTTAGTTTAACTGCTACTTATGTAATAATAGCATTGCCTATTGTATTTTATTTTTAATAAAGAAAATCAAATAATACTGAGTTCATGCCAAAAAAAAAAAAAAAAACTTGAATTTTTCCACTGAGCACTGGACATACATTAACAAATCAAAATAGAACGTTTTTTTTTGTAGCTGTCAACTTTATTGTAGAAAAACAATAATAGATTTTCTCTGTACATTTAAAAAACGGTTTCACAGTAATACTCAACACTTTTTTGGGTCCTGTAAACATTGTGAAAACCTTGGTAGTCAATCTTTAACACGGAGATATGTGAGAAACACAGACATCAACATTGGTTAACACACAGAAAAGAGACCATTGGAACAGCCACACTGAAAAGTGTTTTAATACTCATTGCTTAGACAATGTTTTTGAAATATTTTTGCATAATAAACACTATTTTTTGATACACAATATGTGGTTACATTCATGCGAATGAAAGTGAAGATACAACTGCAGAACTATGAACAATGTATAAATCTAGTGGTCAATATTAAGATCTATAAAAATCAGAATTACAGAAAATCTGAAAACAGAACTAAGATTGACTGTGCAGCTGTCAGGAGTCTTGAGGCTGCATCAGGAAGTTGTAAAGACACTGTATACTAAAAAAGTCAGAGTGTCTTTCATGTCTAGAGAAAAGGGCAGACAGAGAGTGCATATTACAACATCCAGTCACAAGGACACTCAGACAGGCACTTAAGGGAACTCTGGTTCACATGCCATCCTGCGTCCCCCACTTCATGACATGTCTTAATCAGAGGTGATGCGCTGGATCATGGCCTCCTCAACAATGCCAGAGAGAAGTGTTAGATCCTTGTACTGGATCCAGTCCTGCTCTCTCACGCCCCATACAGTGCCCTCCGGCTGCAATATAATATTTCCACAACATTACCAGAATGTTGATGAGCACTAGATTACAGACTGGTTCATTAGAATGAACAATGAATTATTCATAAAAGCTAATAATAATAAATGAAGAAATAATAAGAACAAATTCACAAAAAAAGGACAGAGGACACCAATGAGGACACAAAGAGGACACTAATGTCGTCCATATGAGCTATTCATTGATAAACTTCCCCACATCCACAAATCACAGTCTCAAATCCTATTTAAACATGGCACAGCACACTAGGTTTGCCAAACACAAATAGATTTTTGGAATGAACGGGACTTGCCAAGTGTGAATATATAAAAGCATGAATGAGCCATAATGGAAAGCAATTACTCAGGTAATAAATCTGGAAAGAGAAAATATCCATCGATCTATCTATCTATCTATATATATATATATATATATATATATATCTATCTAGTGGCAACTTATGTTGGGAAACTAACCTGGTCTAAAGCAGGCTAACTGTCAGGCTAAGCTAAGCTCCTCTACTGACCAATAGGTCAGTAATAACATGTTATTACCACTGTCTCAGTTTATACTATTACTATTATCATTATTACATACTATTATTTTACTTTTTTTTACAGTTTCTAGCCATGAAGCATTTCTCTCTGGTTTTATTACAGCTGTACCTTTTATAGTTTGCAGAACAGATAGCAGAACATTAGAACATTACAATCTAAAATTGCTCTTTAAAGCATTAAAATAACTAAATAAAAATTTTAAATCACTGAATTAAAAATTAAAATAAATAATAAAAGAAAATGACTACATTTTAACTGCTATAAGAAACACACATTAACTCATTTGAGCTTAGTAATTAGTACTGTAGCCTACTAGCTTACATTTGATTTACTTATTACAATAGTCCACTTACAGTTACTGCTATCATAAAAATACACTTTATATGTAGGTTTCAAATTCTACAAAAGACACATTTAATGTCCAAAAACTATTTTTTGAAGATGAAAAATATACCTGTGACATGTCAGTTATGCACGGAGGAAAACACAATGTCTCAAATGCAACAAGCACAGATATAGTCGCTGTTTGTCATGGTGGATCGATTTGATCCATGATGGACATTAAGGTCTGCTTAACAATAAGCGTGCACAAATTAGTGAGATTGTGTGAATTTAATTTGTCGTTAATGGAACCGCTTTAGCCCCGACTGATTTGTTAGGTTATTTCAAGTCAGGTTTTGGACTTTAATCCCAGTTTTTCCTTGGGTCTACCGTCTCCGTAGTGTTGTGATGCGTCATATTCACGCAGCAGCAGCGGTGATGAGAACGCGCTTGAGAAACAGTTTAGAGAGGAGAAATCAATCTACATATAAAATATCGGTCACAGATTATTGGTCAATTTCTAAATAATAAAAGTATAGCGCATCCACTAGTAACTAATTACATATAAATGAATCGGTTTTTACCGAGCCATTACTCCAGTCTACAGTTTCACACGATCCTTCAGAAATCATTCTAATATGCTGATTTGTTGCTCAAGAAACATTTCTTATTATTATCCACGTTAAAAAAAACGTTGTACTGCTTAATATTTTTGGGGAAACTGTGATACATTTTTTTTCAGGATTCTTTGATGAATAAAAGGTCCAAAAGAACAGTATTTATTTAAAATAAAATAATCTGGAACATTATAAAATGTCTTTACTGCCACTTTTGACCAATCCATCCATGCTGAACAAAAATATTAATTTCTTTAAAAAAAAAAAAAAGAATAAAAAAATAAATTACAGTGGTTTACTTAATGGTGATAGAACCACCAACCTTCTGATTTCAAGCCCTGTTCCCAGCTGCAAGAAACTCAAGTTAGGAAAACCCGTAGACTGCTATGCCATACAACCTTATGCAAACTCTATACATAACTCACCTTTTCTTCTTCTTCTTCGTCGATGTATATAAGGATCCCATCTCCCTTTTCAAACTGCAGAAGCACACCTTCATCTGAGTCCTGACTCTGCAGAGCAACAGCCTGAAAACAAAATCAAAACAAATACAAATGATTACCTACACAAATACAAATCAATGACGTTTGTCTCAACATTTCCAAAGACACTGTACCTTATAGAGGAAGCCAGGAGGATTTTCATACTCTGTCGTTTGGACTTTCACATCTTCGCTGCATCCCGTGGTATTTTGATCAGTCTCTCCTTCATTTTTCTTGGAGGTGCTGGATCTTCGAGGGGTTGGAACAGGTGCAGTTTTGTCTGTGGTGTCTGATAAGGGCTTTCCCTCATTGTCTCCATCTGTAGATGTATGGTGGGTTTCTTCTGATGATGCTGCTGATTTAGTTCCCTCCTCTTCTCCGTGCTCAGTGGACACTGAATCTTGATGTTCCTGGCCGTTCGCTTGCAGAGACTCATCATTGGTAGTTTCTGATGTGTTTTCAGTGGCTCCCTCAGACCGAACCCCTTCACCCTCAGAACACAAAGACTGCCGCTTGGGTGTGTTGGGTTCACTGTCAAAAGAGTTTGACTCCGAGTCTGATATTTCAGACGCTGTGCTTCCTGTGCTCTTTGAGGGAGTGTCTGAGCGTGTGTCCGTGTGCATGAGGGTGCTGGGCATGCTGAGCTTGCTCATGGCCGGATGATCAGGAGGGAAGGCGGTGTTACAGGGGATGGGTGCAGAGATCGTAACAGACTTTCTCTTCTTTGATTTAGAGCTAGACACAAGAGGAATAAAACAAGGCACATAAAAAGACGATACAAACCATGAACATTCTTAGATTTGCCTTTAATTGGTATAATATCTTCCTGCTTTTAAGGACATGCAATACACAATAGTCACAAAAAGTATAGCATAGATTATGTTCATCATGTCCCATTAAGCTGGGAACCACAAAGTGTACAAATACTTTACTCACAAATATTTTTGTTAAATATGTTTCTGGAAAAGTGCTTTTGCTAGCCTTTTTAAAATCATTTTCTTCTTTTATGCAATGCCATTTATTAATTTTAAGTAGGGCTCAATAGTCTAAACTTTGGGGCCACTGTAGATCTTTATAGAAATGAAGTATTTGCAAATACATTACCTGTCAAGGCCTTTGATGATGAAGGGTTTGGTGGAATGCTGATCCTCAAGCTTCTTCATCATATTATAAATGTTATGATTCAACTGAAACATGAAATTAAATTGTCAATCAGCAACAATGTACTCATTAAACATTAAACGGTGATACCTAAAAAGCAATCTTGTGAGTCACACTGAGGTATAGTTTTTAAGTTAATTAAGTTAGAAAAAAAGAGCACACGGTGCATGAGAATGTCCATCCAAGAAGTACTCTAAGCTTATTGTTTGCTGTTGTAATGTAAAAGAAAAGAGCATCACAGTAAAATAATTCAC